ATATATATATATATATATATATATATATATATATGAGAGCACTTTTGTGTTCGTGGAGTAGTAGTTTCACTTTCATAGAGGGCCAACGACACCATATGCTGAAGGAACCTTTACAGTAATGAAACACTCATGTAATTATGATTAACTTGTTTTACCTTTTTTCTTTTTTTAATGAATGGAGTCTTGTGTTATTTGCTCGCATGCTTGTGAGTTCCAAGAAAGTGGCATTAGTTTTGACATGTTAATTTTACAAATTACAAAACCTTTGATATCATCTTCTTAATTTAGTACTTGGTAAAAAATAAAAATAAATTCTATAATGAATTTTGAGGACGATGGATAGATTAGATTATTTGAATATCTGAGGCATTTGATAATGAATTTTATTTTCTTGCTCAACACGAGTAATGTATTTTTAATTGGAATGATAATTATTAAACAATTAATAAGTCGCTTACATGGGTTATATAATGACTGAGTTGAAGGCTTCCTAATAGTAAGGTGTATGTGGCCTCTCCCATAACGTATGTTTTAGTCTTCAGAAATATACTAAATTATGATCGTGTGACTGAAAAAAAAAACCACTTCTTGTGTTTGGAATTAAAACAGATGTAGCATTTTTATTTGATATATAATTATTTAAGAAAAGTTATCGACTAGCTAGTATATATCGACATATATATGAATTGAAGTAACCTTTATCACGGTGAAGTTGATTGATTAAGATAGAGTAATTAAAAGAATGAATACTCACAGCATTTCTAACAACAAGAGAAGGATGAGCATCATGATTGCAAAGATCCAAAGACACTTCCATTCCCGAATTCCCACAACCAACAACCAACACTTTCTTCCCTCTAAAATCACTCCCACTTCTATACTCCGCCGTGTGTCGTACCTCTCCACGAAAATTCTCAATCCCTTTGATGTCCGGCACCACCGCCTCCGCATTCTCCCCGGTGGCCACCACCAACCACCGGCAAACATACTCCATCTCTTCTCCTTTCAACCCTACACTCTTCACTCTCCACAACCCTACACTCTCATCATACCCTGCACTCTCCACCTCCTGCTCGAAAACCGGCTTGATCCCAAATCGTTTGGCATAGGCCTCCAAATACTCCACAAACTGTTGTTTGGATGGGTACATCGGAAAATCCTCAGGGAAGGGCATTAACGGAAGTTCACAGAACTTCTTGGGAAGATGTAACCGGAGGCGATCATACGTTCTGAATTGCCAAAGCGAAGCTATACAATTCGATCTCTCCAACACGATGCTGGGCACCCCTTTATCCTTCAAACAGGCAGCCGCCGCAAGCCCAGATGGTCCAGCCCCGACGATGACCGGACCAGGTACCCATACATGGCGTCTCAGACCAAGGCCTTGGTTAATAAAGTGATGATCATGAGCCATTTTACCTTCCAATTCCCTTAAACAACTCATCGTCTTTCCAAAATATTTGATAAAGATTAAAGAATCTGATAGAGAGTATATATATGATGCCGGTAATGGATTATGGATTAATATGAGTGGTGGGAATTGGCTTAGATTCGAAGAAAAGGGCGTTGAGTCAAAAACAACGTGTTGTTTCAAGTGATTATACAGTTAGAGGCTCCTCTATCTTTGGAAGATGGTTTTTAACGACAAAACTAATTAAGTTTGGATAAGAGAGAATGGATTAGAAGCCTGATCCACTTATGGGTTCGATCAGTTTTTGTAGGGCTTGCGTAATTGTGGATTTGAAGTGAGCGATAACCGGAGTGAAGATCGTTTGATCGATCGGCATTAACATTCATTCACATACACACAGGGAGAGAGAGAAAGAGAGATTGCGATATATGCATATACATTCTTTTTGCTGGAAGGGAGAGAGTGAGATGAATTAAATTCGGTCACTATATATGAGAGGAGATCAAGGCCAAGTGGTAGAGAGGAACTAATGGAAGTGGGGACATATATATAGTATTCTACCCTGCCCCCTTCACTTTCATAAGAGAACAATATATTATAATTTCTTTCATTAATAGTAATCTAATTTAATTAAACTTTTAAGTAAAACAAGAACAGTATGTTAAACATTAGTGTTGGATACTAGGATATCTTTTACAAGCAAAATAAATATTCGTGACAAAGTCCTATAGGGTTATATTAAGCAACCACATTGCATTTAATTTTAGAGTTAATGGAGTGATACATTATTATTTCACATTTTAATTATACAACTTTATCATCTAATTATTTCTTTACTATTGTTAAATTTAACTAGGGGTGAGCATGGTGCGGTTTTAGAGCCAAACCGAACCACGAAACGCAAGGTGCGGTTTTTGTCGTACTAAAACCGATGAGTGTGGTTTTTGAATGGTTCGGTTTTGCGGTTTTATCATGCGGTTTCGGTTTTAAACCGGTCATATTCATTGGTGTGGTTTCTGCTGTTGTTGGTCGGGTTTTTTGTAACTCTGCAAATCCAATTCTTGCCTCACTACAAGAAAAATCCAATTTAGCTACAGAAAAATTCCATAACAAAAAGATAAAATTCCGTAGCTAAAGGTGAATAACTACGGAATTCGTTACATAACTTTTCTATTAGACTTCGTAGCTATATTTCTTGTAGCAAAATGTTTAGCTACGGAATTATAATTCTGCAGCGATTTTGCTATGTCTGTTTCTAAGACATCTATTTCGTTGCAATTTGAGTTCCATAGCACATTCGTAGCAAATTTCGTAGCAATTTTTCCGTAACCAATTCCGTAGCAATGTTTCCGTAGCAAATTCTGTTGCGATTTTTCCCTAGAAAATGTCATAGCAATTTTTCCGTAACCAATTCTGTAGCAATGTTTCCATAGCAAATTCCATAGTGATTTTTCCGTAACAAATTCCATAGCGCTTTTTCCATAGCCAATTCCGTAGCAATTTTTCCATAGCCAATTTCGTAGCAATTTTTACATAGCAAATTTCGTAGCAATTTTTCCGTAACCAATTTCATAGCAATATTTTCATACCATTATTCAATAAAATATGTTTATTCCATTCGACTATTTATATCAATTTATAAAAATACAATTAATATAACACAAAAAGTAACATAGTATTTCTATAGAAACTAAGAGAAATATCCAACACATCAAAAGATACATACATCAAAATCAAAAGTCGCTACAAATTAAACATAAAACGTTGTTCGATACATAATATTCTATCATTGATTAATAAAAGTTTTGACCTATTAGCTCAAAGTAATAATTACAGTCATTGTTCATTGTTCGTGCAAGTTGTTATTCAAAATTTGCTTGAACATCCATATTTTTCTATTGAATCTTCACATTCTTTTGTTGAGCATCCTCGTATTTTTGTTGAGCATCCTCATACTTTTGTTGAACAATGCATTAAGCATCTTAGAATCTGCAATCTTACACAAAATATTGAAGACAATAAACAAAAATGTATAAATCTATAAATAATATGTATTTTGTTTATAAGATATACATTAAAATATTGCAGACATCCAAGATAGATTTTGAAAGATTTCAAATATCAATAACATGTCAAAACTAAAATACATGATCACTAAATGTGTTTTAGAGTCAAACCGTTTATATGAAACATTTTTTGGTCTATAAACTCACTATTAGTTTGTACTTAGTCCACTGAGCCTTTTGTTTATAGAAGGGTAAAACATATCATGTAAAAGCCATAAATCGCTTCTAAATCAAAATTACAATACTTCCCTTTAATGAGCTTTAATGACAACATGTCAACTAAACCAAGTATTAACACTTTCTTGATAAAAAAGAAAAAAAAAGTAGTGTCAATCTACAACTTCAGAAAAACAATAGACATTGTATTGTTTTTATTAGGGGTGAGCATGATGCGGTTCGGTGCGGTTTTTGGCCAAAACCGAACCGAAAACCGTAACTTCGGTTTTTTGAAATTTAGAAACCGCACCGTGCGGTTTTTATGCGGTTCAGTTTTTGCGGTTTTTAATTGTGGTTTTTTGCGGTTCGGTTTTTTTGCGGTTTTTTGTTAGTTTTTTTGTTTTCGTTTTGCCTTTTTACTAAAACTCAAGTAACTCAACGAGTTACTTTGACTCAGATGAAGAGTGCTAATCATTTATTGGAGATAAACCGATACCACCACCTCTTGGTTTGAAATCAAATTACATAACCACTCATCTAACATGTTTCTAATGCTTCAATATAATACGAATTTAATATAACATTTGTTTCACAAGTACATACGATAATATGAATTAATGTATTCATAAAAATGATACTATATCACTAGTACTCTTCATATTTAAATGTTAAAAAAATTTCATAAACATTATTTGTTATTGTAAATACTACTAAATGTATGCTTAAAAATATACAATCATCCTCCGATAGAGATATATTGTAACGCCCCGTTCCTGGTATGCATTTAAAACATTATTTTTCTTCTTATTTTAGAAGCTACTCGACGAGTCAGTGGCCCTAACTCGTCGAGTAGTAGCGGGTCAGCAGGTGGAGTTGGCGTGGCGACTCAACGAGTCCATATTCCGGACTCGGCGAGTCCGCCAGTCTGGATGAAGCCCTAATTTTCAGGGAGTGTACCCTAT